ATGCATACACGTTAGAAGAGAATGCCGTAAATGAAATTAAACTAAAAACTGCTGAAGTTGCAAATAAGGCCAAGAGTCAAATATTAGCAAATACTTCTCATGGTATATTTTTCTCATTATGTGTCACGCATAGTCTTCAAATTTTTTCATCTGATTAATTAAATTATAATTCTCATTATTATTATTATTAAATTTTTATTCCATTCTTACACGTAATAGAATTACGGACACCATTAGGAGCAATAGTAGGCATTCTTTCTTCCTTCGAGAATACTACTTTAACCACTGATCAAAGAGAAATGATTAATATCATGACACAAGCTTCTGATATAGTTTTATCTATAGTAAATGATATTCTGGATGTAGCAAGATTAGAAGCACGAAAGGTTACTTTAATGAATCGAACATTTGATTTATTAGAATTATTGGAGAGTACGATTGAGTCATTCGGAAGAGAAGCTGGAACTAAAAGAATTGAACTAATTGTAAATTGTGAGGTAGATATGTTGCCGAGATATGTTAAGAGCGATTCTGAAAGGTGATTACAATTAATGTACTTTCTTATACTGTGTAAAAAACTTTCTTTATTACTTATATTGTTTCTTTTGTCTCTTATTATTGTAAATAGGCTGAAACAGGTTTTGTCTAATTTATTATCAAATTCGTAACTATTTAACTATTTATTTTTCTACGCACACGCATATATAGCTTTTTTATTTTCATAAACTAATTAAAATTGTATTTAATAATTATTAATTTCTTAGAATTAAATTTACCAATAAGGGCAAAGTTGTAGTGACAATTTCGATGCAATTACAAGATGTAATTGATGATGATAAAGATAAACTGACTTACGATCAACCTATTAAAAAAGGCAATTTGTTAGTTGAATTTTATGACACTGGCATTGGGTATGACAATATACTCTATACTACATGCACTTTATATTTATATTATATATTCTATATATTAAGCAATATAAGCTAATAATTTATTTAATAATAATAGCATTGACCCAGGATATATAAAACATGCATGGCAAAGCTATTCACAAGGTGACATGTCAATGACTAAGACGCAAGATGGTACAGGACTTGGCCTCTCAATTTGTAAAAGTCTAGTAGAAATTAATGGAGGAGAAATTAAAGTAGAAAGTCAATTATACTATAAATATATGGCATGAAATTATTTAATTAACCTTGTTGGTCCGGAAATTTCGTTTTTAGGAT